ATCGAAACTGATACAAAGCTATATACTCAGTTCTTTCCACAAATTCAAACGAATTCTTAACCGTGTATTTATTGTCATCCGTTAAAAATGAGAATTTTTATCGATATGAATTTTGCTACATTATACGCTGAACTCTTAATATTAGATAAAATAGGTCCAAAATTATTCCCAATTTTATTAACTTTAGGCAAAGCATATAGTGTCTAGGTAAAATAAAGTTACTTGAACTAAACTTTTTATGTAGTTTTTAACTTTTTACATAACCATTGCTTGAAGTTTATTTATAGGATTGACCTTAATATTCTTATACAGACCTTCTTTCAACTTTTCTTCAATTTTGGAACCGTAATCATTTTTTTTTTTACTGTGTCCCTACAGCGCAATGGATAGCGCGTTGGATTTCTAATCCAACGTTACCGGGTTCGTCCCACGGCAGGGATGCCACCACCATTGCTTGTTTCCAAGTCCCGGATGAGAAAGAGCGCATAAAAAACCAATCTGCTAAAAAAGTTACTATAACAACAACAACTTCCGTCGGCGAGGTGTTGTTACGGCCCTATACTCCAATGGGAGTCTACAGGGATTATTAATCTTTTTTACCAATAATTACAATTTATCCCACTTTATTATACTTGAAATAACCACAACTTGTTCCTTTAAACTCTTCAAAAAATCATTTTTGTTATTATTTATGGATTTAAAATTATTTAATAAAGTACAACATTCGCTTCTAGCAATATGCTCTTTTTCAACATTTATTTTTTTAAATTAGTTTCAATTTCATTTAATATGTCTTTTTAATAACATTTTTAAGACCACATGAGAAATTTAGACCTCTGTTTAAAACATCTAGCTGTTTATCGTTTACTGTTAAATCCGATTTATTTATGATTTTAGGGTTATTTATAAAGATATGTAAGGAATTTATAAGGTTCTTCGTTCGCTTCGTTTTTTCTGGTCTAATATAATTTATAATTTTTTGTCCAACGTAATTTTACATCTATCAGTATTTTTATGTAGTTTAATCCTGACTTTCTTTCCCACTCCATCCAATCTTCCTTCCCCTAGATAGAGCTAAATGCAATAAATATACCTTTTTTCCTGTTTTTGTTGAATCACAATATTCAGTATCTTTTCTTTAGTTTTTTAAGTTGATATTTCATTTTCTTGTTTTTGATATTGCAATTCAACTTTATAAAATTTGGTGTTATCTTACTTTGTTTTGCAGCTCATTAAGAACCCCAGTTGTTGAAGGCATCTTCTTAACTTCAGTCTTTGTCTTGCAAAACATTTTTCCATATACGCCGTTGCTAGATTCATATTAAAATCTATTGGAATTCGTATAAATGTTCAACGTTAATTTATTGTAATTATGTTGTAAACGGGAAGACTTTAATAACGAGTTGTTATTGATTAAGTATATAGCAGTTGAAAGAGGTTTTAATCGTTAAATGTGTATATACTTACTGCAACTGAGAGGTGTGTATGGCGTGCATAGACAATTCAATTTCTCTCCTGGAAGCATTTGTAACTTCGATAATTTCGATAAAATTTCTCAAATACTTTACTGTGATGCACAATCGTCCTCATAGAGCAGATGTGCCACAACGTTCCTAACAATATATGAATTATCTAAGTTCTCCATTGGCCAATGTACACGAGATTGCACGTCAACAGCTAAGAAGTTACAACAAATCAGTCAATTAATAAAACCTTTGAGGAGACTGGATATTTTTTGTATGTGCCATTGTCAAGAAGAAGCTTGGCTGTAGCTATTCAGGTCCTTATATCAAACATAGACAGATAGATCCTTTTGCATATACGATAAAGCAGTTGCTTGGCATAAAAAAGTACCTGGAGCACAATGACAAACTACAACAATATGCTAGTGATGAACTTCTTAATACTGGCTTACGCAAGAGACGGGTATGAAGAACTCAAGCTAATTTTCTGTCGAAACACGTGATATGTTCCACCATCAATAAAACTTTTCCTTATGATTATAATCGTTGTTTGCCTACCTAATATTATATTAGCATAATGTGCTTCCTTAATCAAATAGTTATTGATCAGTAAAGCCATATTTGAAGATACAGTGTGCCTCATATTTTCGTTAATTCTACTGGAAAATATTTCAATTTCCACATTGAGATTTATAGCAAGTAGAACATTTTCATTGAATAGATAAGTAAAACAAGGGAGCTATTGTTACACTTGAAAGAAAATACTGTTGCAATTTGTGGATTTTTATGGAAGAGCTAAGAATAACAAATGAGCTCTTGTAAGTTTGAAAGAAAATACTGTTTGACCTGTTATTTTTACGAGCTGCAATGATAAATATTTAATTTAAACAGTGATATTTCTGAGTAGATTAAATTATAAGTAAAAAGTGAAATTTGCACACAGTATCTTGTATTATACCCAATGTAAGCTTTGGGCAACCAATGTTTATTTCATTGTGACTGAACATTTTCAACCATGTAGATTGAAATCATTTGATCAGAATACATTGTTTTAATGCATGATACAGTTGGGTGCATTAATATGCAAATTGTAAATGTATAGTTGGAAGGAGAAAATAACACACGTTCAATATTGCTTTATAGTTGCCTCAAATTGTGCTACACTACTATCTGAAGGCTAAATTGATAGGAAATGTAATGTTGGTATTAATTAATTTCCATGGTCCGAAGATCAATGTTACTGCGCATGAAATGTCTGTCCTATTTTGGAGTGCACAATTTCAACACCTATTTCTTTCCTACTGAATCCAGCATTATAATTGTAAATTCTTGTCATGGTAATGACAACAATGGACAGCGAAACTAGATGTAGGTCAAACGGGAGACCTTATGAAGTATGAAGGAGGAGAATTTATTTACAGTTGATATACATGTCAGCACGCAATCTTTGTCCACAGCAATGGCATTCACACTCTGTTTCTAGAATTCAAAATATGAAAGAGGATTATTGTGTCTGTGCCATTAAAACTTCAACCTACACTTTTAACTAAAAATCTGACCAATTAGAATTCGACTTACCTTACCTTTCAGACTTCACATTTTCTGTTTAAATCCCTATTATAAACATTCTGCTGAATTTTTGTCGATTAACTTTTTGTGTGTAGTTTTATTCTTGTTACCAGGGCTGAAGACCACTGCTGAGATGCAGTGTGATGAAAGCTATCTGTTTGGAGACTTCCCAGATATCAGGCAGAGAAGCATCATTGGTACACTGTATGTATTCACTTGAGAAAAGACCATATTTCAAAACCTAAGAGACTTTGGATATTTTATAACCACGAGGTATAAGATCCTCCTTTGCAATTGGAAGAAGAGGTGTATCATCTGGTATAGACTCATAAACCTATCGTACATAGCCTGAGTGATCATTTGCTTACTGGACATCGATTGTTGTGTTCGAAGATCTGCTGTTGAAGCTCCATTAAATACTGGAAGCTCTGTTTCCCTTTTCTGATGTATAAATGCATTGACTTAGTTGTGATTTAGTTATTGCTTTCTTCACTTTTCTATGAAGTGTAAATGTTGTAAAGAAAAGTACATTTTATTGTATGTATGCTGAACAGATGCATATAGTGGTTATTCCTTTTAATAAGGTGTTCGACTCGCAACCTGAGAGTTGCAGGTTCAAATCCCCGTCACCGAACATACTCACCATTTCAGCCATGGGGACGTTATAATGTGACGATCAATCCCACTATCTGTTGATAAAATAGTATCCCAAGTGTTGGCGATTATAGATGTTGACTAGCTGCCTTCCCTCTAGTCTACTTAGGGACGGCTAGTACAGATTGTCCTCGTTTAGCTTTGCGCGAAAATCAAACCAAACCAATATTTTTATTATATACTATTTATACCATTGATTTTATTTCTTTTCTGGGTTTTGTTTTGTCGTCTGTACATATACACTCGTGAACGCTCTTATACGTACGTAAGTGTTTTATAAAAGTTTTGAATTTTGGTTTCTATTGTGTATTTTACTTCGTGAAAGCTTATTTTAATGTATTTTGGATTGATTGTGAAGGGTTTCTATTTCTTTTTTGTAAAAGGAGTTACTTTTTGTACTTCAAATATGTTTTACATTGGTATTTATTTTGTTATGTTTTTATAAAGTGCTAAAAGTTTTAATTCATTAAACCCCAAAGGATTTATATTGTATTTCCGTTTTGATATGTTTTATTTGTATAAATATACTTTTGTGTTGATTTGTGCTTTTAGTATTTTGATGTAATTTCCTTTTATATGACTTTTAAATTTGTGATTCAATTTTTAATATTATGGCTTCGAAATCAAGTTGAATTTTCCATTGCATTTGTTTGTATTTTTTGGTTAGCGCTTTGGTGGAATGAAGTAAGTTAAATTTATTTCTAGACTGACATTCAAAATGTTTTAAAGTTAGGTCTCTTCACCAGCCTAAAGATAAAGAGTTGAGTTAAAGTTTGGTATGCAGGTTAATCAAAGATGACTTATTCTTTACTAGCCGTAGTGATATGATGCCATTAGCATTGGATGATGCCAAATTCCAGACAAATATTTCAAGTGAAAGCTACGAAAATATTACGCCTGAAAATGGAACTTTACATAGAAATAGTTCCCATTCGGTACATCATGTCCTGAAAAAAAGACAATCAGCTTCAGATACACTTCAAGGAACCGATGCTCTTCACGAAAAACTAGAATCGCCATTGATATATTTCGGTAAGTAGTGTTAGTGTGGTAGATGAAAGAATACATTACGAATATTACACAACTATCAACGTTTAAGTTGGTACTCGCCAACATTATTTTTCTAGTAGCTGTAGTGTTAAACAAGAGATGTAATATTTATTCAAATCAGTACATTCCAAACTCATTCCTGAAGGCTTATTTTCTCTAGCAAATTATTCAGACTGAACAACTTTTAGTTTTCTTATTGTACCATCTCTCTGATTGTAAACAGTATGAGTATTATGTGCAGATCATATGTATAATATTACTTAATAATTTTCTTCAAGTATTCCTATTAAAAGACATAAACTTTTATTTAAGACGAGTAAAACGAAAAGCAGTGAAAACTGTATAAAGTTTCAGTTCTTTAACAAAGAATTAGATTTATAAGTAAAAATATTAATGCTTCGATTCATTATCTAATTACTTCTTTTGCTAATTGAGGTTTCAGTACATTTAATTTAGTATTTGTCTTGAAGGTATGCTACAAAGATAAAAATCTTTGTTAAAAATAATAAAAATAAAGAAACTTTTAACAAATGTGGGTCATTAACTTCCAAGATTATTTTCTTTCTCGAGCCAATAAATTTAATAGAAGAAAGTAATGGATCTCTAAGACATATTGACAAATAATTACAAATAGAAATATTGGGACAAGTCAATTGAAACATTCAACTTCAGAAATCTTTATAGTACTTTATCCACGGACGAAATATAATGAAAAATTATTTCTTCGAAATCTTTAGATCTTTTAAACATTCTGATAAATTAACTCTATGAATTAACAAAAACGAACAGTTTTATAGTTATATTCTTCACTGTACATCATAAATTCTCTTAAGCTTATTATTTCAATTCATAATATAATTGTACAATTTGGCGGGTAAGTTTTTATCTAAGCAAACCCAGGTAGAATTGAAAGATAATTTACAAAGGAAAACTATAATAAAGATTTCTACATTAATCACAACTCTATATCTGAAGTTAAGGTACTCCAGCCAACGTATAGTACAAAGTTGGTTATGAAAGTAAAAAAGATGGATTAAAAAGGACAACACTTTAAAAAGTTTGGAGCATAGCCATAGTTAATTCATTTATTTAAATTTCTGTGCTTTTGTTAAGTTCATTGTACAAAATCTAGTGAAAATATATTTTAAAAATACCCATTCATTTATATTATTGACGACCAAAGTATCAAAACAAATTGCCACATTCATAAGCCTGAAATTCTTACAGAAAGTTGGCTTCCTTTCTTTATTTTCATTATGTCTAGTGGCGATGACCATTCACTTACTTAGTGCTCTTTTATCGTGTCTTTCAACATCTGCTAGCTGTTTTTGTTTTCTGATAATTTTCTGGTAGCACATCTCTGAGGTACACATTAACTTATTTAAATGTGTGTTATCTTAGCAACCAGCTGGTACTACACAAACATTTACATATTCTGCCAGTAATATATTGAGATCCTTCAACAGTTTCTACTGTTTACCACTGTATTTATGAAAGCTGAGCCTCCATTCCTGGGTGTAAGACGATTGATGCAATGTAAGCTATGCAGCTAGACTTTCTTACTTCCTCTCTGCTTATGATTCATAAAACTACAATTTTATATTTATTTTCTCATAACAACATGTCGTTAGTGGTACAAATTATAATTTAAATTATACTGTCATCCTAAGAAGTGTTGTTTGATTTTGGACATTCCTTATCTCAACCACTAAGTTAATAGAATGAGCTGCAAGTGACTGTATTTCTAGCCAATGCTTGAGTATTGTTCGGAAGAAAAACTACTTTTACTAACTATACACTAGCAGTTGGCTGAGATGTAAACAGCCACATTATAATACGTTACCTATCAGCTTTTATAAGAAACATTATATAGTTGCTCAAACCTCTTGCTATACTTCATTTCCCACCTAAGGACAACTTAAGAGATGCAACTGGCGCCATAAACTCTCATCTCTGTGGCTATGCCAATATAAACTGAGCTGCAACATTTTGTGATGTTGATTGTGACTCAAAGGGGTGTATAACTTTATTTTTCCTCACTATAACTTAAGCAAATGCACAGCACATTTCAGTAGTTAAGATGGCATGAGAGAAAAGAGAACAGCCATACATTTTACACTATCTTACAATGTGACAGTCCAGTACCACACGAGAAGTGACATCTAAGAAAAGGGGTTTAGTTCATTGTAACTGGAATGCAAGCTATAAGTAAAACAAGCAGGAATTTGCATCAATTTTCGTGTGCTTTCATTCGTGTCAGAAACTTCCTTATAAATTTTATACTCTTATATTCGCTGATTTATCTTGCACTCTTCCAAACTTTCCATACTTTAATGTCAGTAATAAATTAAAAAAGCTTAAAATATAATACTAGTTACACACCAGTTGGGAGAAATCATAGTGAGAGAGGAAGAGTCAGTATTCATCATGTTATATAAAAAACTCCAGTTAGTAGAATAAAATTAGTTGTCACTGGCTTGGTTGATAGCTTAACTGGTATTACCAGGTGTGTTGTGAAGCCAATAACAGGAAGAACTTCAATTCACATTTATTGGTAAACTTTACTCTATGCATCATACATCTACCAGCGTATCTTATAGATCCCACTTCGGCAATCCCCTCTACAGTTATGTTAAAATCCTTAAATCAAATATTGAATTTCCTCATTTAGAAGACCTATTAAGACTGTTAAAAAACGGTTTGATGTTTTGGACGGGCTAGAGTTAATGGGGTAATCAATATTATCGTAAACTATGGAAGACATCCAAACTTCTAACTGATGAATTCTAACTTGTAAGTGTTTTATTTGTACTTGGGAAAAGGTTGAAGGAGCTATAGATATACTGAATCTATAATTTAGAATTCAATTTTCTCTCAGTTTACTTTATGATAAAATGCATTAATGGTTTATAACAAATAACTGTAGGTGGTATAATGCGGTGGTTTTCAATTGCTGGTCCAGTGTATTGTTTCAGAATTACTTCCTCTGTAATCACTCGTGGTCAATATGTTAGCCATTATGACATCACAGTAACAAATGTAAGTACAGAATAATGGGCTCAATCTTGACCAAATTTCACAGGGCATAGTACTTACGAACTTTATACAAGTCAATATCGTGCAAAGAACATTAAAAGGACACTTTTCAAGCATCGCAAGGCAATACTTTTATGATGGAGTGTTAGGAGAAACTATGATGTTGCCTTTGGTACACATGGGGTAGTCAGGTGTGACTTTTATTAGTTGTGGGTGTTTTTCATGACTGAAAAAGGACATTTTGAGGGAATAAGAGCAGAATGACAGGGGATTGAGCCCAACCTACCGCTTCACTGTTCACGTCACTTCTCTAAGCCTTCTGCTGTATTACTATTTTGGCTTCTGAGATCATTTTTAAGAAAAAAAAGCGACAAAGTTAAATAGTGCTTCATTACATAATTTGACAAGTATGTAATTGAAAAACTATTGTGATTTCATTTTCTTTAGCCATCTTTCTCCTGTCAAAAAATATGATGATTTCAGGTGTAGCAGAAGCTTACGAACATTGTGCTTCATCAAATTAATGTCATTAATTATTATCCTGCTAACAGTACCAGAAGAGATAACTAAATATTGTGTCGTTTCGTTTTACAAATTTTAACAACCTTGCTATACAGATATTATTCATGGTCTGTGAGACATATATCCCTTATTTAGAACCCCATTTGTGGCAGGTTGCACTTTCGATAGGTCTAAATTTGCCGTGAACCCATTATATACGTGATAAGCACGATGTCCATCGTGCCACAGCTTTCAACTGTAGGAACACGCCACTGCGACAGCATCATGCAAATCGCTTATCATAAATTTACGATTAGTCAGTTGCTGTCAGATCCTATTCCCTGTCCAAAATCTTTCATATTTGGTTCCGCTATATGCTACTTTCTGCTCCTTCCAACTCTGTTTCTGTTTTTTCATAATATAAAAAAATAAAATAAAATTACAGAAAGAAAGAAAATAATGCTTTACCGACCAATTCAAAAGGAGTAAAGAAAATATTACACGTTGTAGATCTATATCATTGTATTAGAACATTCCAACTTTTATTCAAGTATGTCATACAAATGCACAATCGAGAGGATAGAATTTGAACAGATTGTGATTTGGTTGTAGGACGCCGGAAGTTCCTTCCTGACATTCACAGCTGGTAGCGAGAATCTTTTCGCGTGTGTGCGTGCGTGAAATATCGAAACTTATCCTGTTTATGCTGCGTATTCTGAAAACATAAGTATATTACACAAAACGACATCAATGTTAGAATATTTATGTCTTGTTATATAGATGTAGAACGATATTTTTATGAAAATTAAAGGTTTAATTATTTCTTAATTATCAATCAAGTTTAGTTCTTGATGCAAACATTCATAGTACTAGCTTCCCCCTATAGGAATGCTGTAGGTTTGATTTCTCGCGATGGACACAGCAGATAGCCCAATTTCTCTTTGCTCTAAAACAAACGAACAAACATAATACAAGTATTATGATCCTATTATATACATTATATTATTTTATCTTAGTGATGATATTGAAAGAAAATTGCAGAAGAATCTTACATGTTATAGCCACCCAGTGGCACGGCGGT